CTTCTTCGATTGATGAAGTATAAAGGACTTCAAAGCCCTGAGACTGAAATGGGACTAAATACTCACACAAACAAGAGCAATATTACTATACTATATCAAAATCAGGTGAATGGATTCAAGTTTTGATCCTACACCAGACAGATTCATTGTCTTAATTGGAGACTCACTACATGTAAGCTCGTCCAACTCACTAAAATAAAAATTGTTGGGCACAAGATACATTGTTGTAAAACTAAAAGTTTGATGAAGGATATTATATCTACTTATTTTAACCTGTTAAGACAGGTAATATGTCTTGTTCGTTAGGTTACTAATTCCATTTTTATGTGCGATTATTTTTTCAAATGATTTGATTGTGAAGGTTCTTTTATATTGCTAGTGTAAATATACACTTTTTTATCTTTCCATTTTTGAGGATCTTTTTTTTTTGAATATATGAAGGATTGTGTTTTTTAACGTAGGCATGGACAAATGATCGAATGCATGCACCATATCATAGAGTGGTGTCTGAATTTAATTTAATAAATTATGTTTACTAGTAAAATAAATATGTATACTTCTTTGAGTATATACTTATGTTTTATGTATTGATATGCAAAATAATACAAAACTTTTGTAATTTTAATAGGTAGATAATAGACATCAACATCATTCTTCCTTTCTACCAAATATAAAGTCACGCGTATTTCAATATTTACTGAGTTTTGACTGATACCCACCTTATTGCTTATCAAAATGAATAATTTAGTGTTAACTTTAAGAATTGCCGATCAAAATACTTACAATTACAGTTTGAAAATATAAAAAGATAATAATTTTCAATGAAAAAGATTGTTTTCTTGTCTCATATATATGTGTGTTAAAGAGTAGGTCAAATTTCTTGATCGTTGAGACAAACTGATTTACAATTGGAATTTACTATAATATCTGAGCAACAAATTTGTAATATATTGTTATTTATTGATTACTAAAACAAAATTATTAGTTACCAAATTAATATATTTATCTTAAAAATTGAGGAAGTTAAGTATCATAATATTTCATGTTGTGGTATTTCTGTCATTTACGTGACACGGAAGATTTACACCTATACAACTATACAAGTATCTAAAATTATTTTGGAACATAAATTTTAAAAGTTTCCATTTTGTTTTTTAATAAGTTTGTAATTAATTAAATGATGTCACGTCAATTAAAATTTCAGGAGTAATAATTTTGGCTGGTCCTCTTTTCTATATTAGTCTTCTACTTCCTTTAATGCGTAGAGGTCTATTTTTCTTTGCACATCAAATATTTGGTATACGTTGTGATCAAATTTTTCATACAACCAGATTTTATAGTATAGTGGTGAGCATTTTAGGCCACATTTGTTTTCATTAAAATTATGACGTCTCAATCTGAATGCACATCCGAATGATTAACATTTTGTCTCTAGCTTTAAACACTGAATTATTAAGATTGTTTATTATTAAATATATGAATATAAGTGATTTTATATATATATATATATAATTTTTATTAATATGTAAACACAATAAATATTATAATTCAAATAAAATAGTAGTTAAATATTATATTAACAAGATATTAGAAAAAAAACATAGTCTTTGATAAACGTTAAGATATTTAAATTATAAATTAATATTTTAACTTTGATAAAAAATAAAAAGGAACTACATAGACTATATATATAAATTATAATAATAAAAGTAATTGTTAGAAAACAATATAGTCACCTTTTTTTTATTCAAAAACACATTTATGAAGTTGTTTTGCACTTTAGTCATAATAAAAATTTTACAATAAATTTTATCAATTCTTGATAAACAAGCCGCAAAAACAAAAATGAAAAATATAAAAAAAATAATTTGGATAATTAATAAAGTTGGAGAATAAGAGAGGCTTGAATATACTGTCAGAATCTGAATATCAAATGCATCTCAATATTTTGCACTATTCATTAGCATGAGGCTGTATAGTGATTTAGGGTGTGTTTGGTATGAAGGAAAATGTCATGTTTGGTTGGTGAGTAGAACATATTTTCATGAAAAGATTTTTGTGTATGATTTATGAATGAAAAATATTTTTGAGAAAAAAATTAATTTTACTAGAGAGTAGAAAATGATTTTTGAATTGAAATTGAAAATATTTTTTAAAAAATAAACTTAATTTTTTTGGAGGGAGGGTGGGGTGGGCTGGCGGGGGGAGGGGGTGGCTGGGGGGATAGGGATGAGATGGGGTAAAAAAATAAAAATTTGAAATTAAAATTATTTTTAAAATATAAACTTAAATTTTTTTTTTGGAGAGGTGGGGGCAGATGGGGGTTAGGGGGTGGGGTGGAAAAATAAAAATTGAAAATATTTTTTTTAAAAAAACTTTTAAATTTTTATTTGGAGGGGGGGGGGGGGGGGGGGTCAGGATAGGAGTGGTGTGGGGATGAAAAATAAAAATTTGAAATTGAAAATATCTTTTTTTTAAAAAACTTTAATTGTTTTTTTTTTTTTGGGGGGGGGGGGGTATAAATAAAATAAAATTGAAGTTGAAAAATATTTTTTAAAATAAGCTTTAAATTTATTTTTTCAACAAAAAGAATTGATTTTTTCAACATAAAAATTGTAATTTGAAGTTGGAGGACAGTTGTTGAAAATGTTTTTCTTAATTTTTGAAGGAAAGTCATTTTCCTTAAATTTGAGGAAAATGAGTTGATTTGGAAAACCTTTTACCCAACCAAACATGAGAAAAAATTGGAAAGCATTTTTTTAGGAAAATATTTCCTTCATACCAAACACACCCTTAAGGGAACTTTCATAAATCTCACTAGTTTCGGAGCTAATTATTTATGAAGGACCCAATGTCATAATTCTTCGAGTGACAACAACAATATACAGTCAGATGCATCTCATTAGTTTGCACTATTCACTCGCCTAATTGGCTATATTGAACTTAGTATTAGGTATATGGGCTTATGCATAATCGTTAAAATTAGATATAAGGTATAAGACTTCTCTAGATTTTAAGATATCTAAAAATCCAAAATTCAATTTGTAGTTTAAAATTCAAACCGAAAAATAAAAAAATATTGTAATTCAATTTTGTCCAAACTATGCCTAGTAGCTCTACCTAAGAAGCTTAATTTGTTTAGCAACGTTGTTATAAATTAGGTAGGCCTACTTATCGTTGAATTAATGAACAACTTGTATTTTAGATAGCCGATGAATTACACATTTCATCATTCATCTAGACATTTTAATCAATTGAAATTCACAATATTTTTGGATAATATTGAAAGAACTTTTTTTTTTTTTACGTTTAAAAAGACTAATAGAGATAAAGAACAAAAAATTCTATCTTTTTAATTTAATTCTTTAAAAGAGCAGTAGGATTTTCAACAATTGAATAATATTGTGCTGCCATTATAAATATATTATTTAATTTTTACAGATTAATTAGCTATAGAATCAGAGTGATGAATCATTTAAGAAGATCTACTTTAGCCTACTCAATCTTTTTATATCCATAAAAGCCCACCTCAAATAGAATTATGTGTTCATGTCGTTCAAATTAAACATGAAAAAATTCGATTGAGATTTTTTAGATTTATGAAACTAAAATCCAAATGCAATTCAAATGAATTTTGATTCGTTCAGTATTCTTAAGTTCGATTTCGAATATAATCCATTTGATTATTTCGAATTCTTAGTTTTGAGCCTATAAATTGAATTTGTTTTTCTTACGAAAATGATCATAAAAATAAAGTATTCATGTCAAATTGCTTTAATAATTTCTTATTCCAACCACAATCCATAAAAACTCGATCTAAACATCAATTAATATACTTCCTTAAGGACCCAATGTCATAATTCTTCAAATGACAACAACAATATACAGTCAGATGCATCTCATTAGTTTGCACAATTCATTAGCCTAGCTAATAGGCTATATTAATTGATTTAATATGGTATTGGACATTTGACCTTATTAGTATTAGGTATGTGGGATTATGCATAATCATTAGAATTAGACATAAGGTATATTTTTTTTCTAGATTTTTAGATATCTGAAAATTTTAGTATAAATTAAATACAAACCAAAAATTCAAATATATTGCATTTCAATTTTGCCCAAACTATGCCAACGATGTTATAAATTAGGAATGCCTACTTATCGTTGAATTGATAAACAACTCGCATCAAAGACTTGTTATTTTGTTATCACATCGGAAAAGTACTTGGCTTCATAGGGTTTTGCCCTGATTTTCTTATCATAATTTAAGATTTATTTTTCCTTAAAGAAAAGACAAAACATTACCATAAATGTTTTTACTTTTCTTGAAAGGAAAATATAATATTCTTTCATATTTGGTTTATTCTCTCCTTTTAGGACTCTTTTTCTAGTAAGAAAAGGTTTTAGGACTCTATAAATATAAATATAGGTTTGTTTCTTCTAACACAATAACAATAACATCCACAATGTAGTCGTTTAATACTTTTGTTTATGGGGAGATTTATTCTCTCTAAAGTTTCAATGTTTTTCTTTATATTAGTTTTGATATAATAATATTTTGATTTTTTAGTATAAGTTTTTGTTATTTGATTTATTAACTATATGATTTGCAATTGTAAGCTTCCGCATGACGCCCTAATCACCCTTCATAACCCAACACAATTAACTATGAGTAGTTTTGAAACCCAAAATTATTCAACTATGTCTAGTTATTTTTGTGAAATATCAATAGTTGAGTGACTTTTTAAGATAACTATTTATAGTTGAGTGACTTTTGAGAAAGTTATTCATAGTTAAAGTGAATTTTGAGTTATAAAACAAAGTTTAGTGATTTTCTGAGAAAACAACTGACTTTCTGAGAAAGTTATTCATAGTTGAATGATCTTTTAAAATATTATCTCTAACATTTTAGGTTGTGTTATTCCAAATCCTATATAAATAGGTTAAACTTCATGCATATAATTAAGCATAACAAACATATAACAAAAATCTCTTCTTTCATGAAATATGAATTCTGAAAACATCAAGCTTCCTAAAATAGACTTTTCTCATGAAGACCTAAAGCCAGACACACTTGTATGGAATCAAGTGAAAAGCCAAGTCCACAAAGCACTAGTAGAATATGGTTGTTTTGAAGCTTCCTTTGATAAAATTCCAATACATCTTAGAAAATCCATTTTTGAATCCTTACAAGAGATTTTTGATCTCCCTTTACAAACCAAACTTGAAAACATTTCAACCAAACCCTTCCATGGCTACATTTCAACCAAAATATTTCCTTCATTTCCACTCTTTGAAAGTATGTGCGTTGATGATGCTAACATTCGGGGTAAAGCTGAAAAATTTGCTCAAATTCTTTGGCCTCAAGGAAATCCTTCTTTCTGGTAAAATTTAACATGAATCTTCTCAATTTGTTCTTATTATAATGCCCATTTTCATTGTTTTCTTTTGTGTGTATATGTATTGTCAGTAAAACTGTTCAGTCATACTCTGAGCAACTATCAGAGTTAGATCAGACGGTAAGGAGAATGGTTTTGGAGAGCTTAGGCCTAGAAAAGTACATGGATGAGCATATGAATTCAACCAATTTCGTTCTTCGATTGATAAAGTATAACACACCTCAAAGCAGTGAGTCTGAAATAGGAATAAGTGCTCATACAGACAGGAGCATTGCTACTATACTCTACCAAAATGAGATAAACGGTCTTCAAGTCATGACCAAAGATGGGCAGTGGATCAATGTCGAACCTACACAAGACACTTTCACTGTCATGATTGGAGACTCTCTACATGTAAGTTGAGCACTATAGTTATTGTTTTAGATGACTTGATTTGTGAAAATTATTTTATATTGTCCGTGTATTGAAGTTCAAACGTTACTTAATTTTTATATCGTACGTAGGCATGGACAAATGGCCGGATGCATGCACCATATCATAGAGTGATGATGAGAGGAAACAAAGCAAGATACTCAGTTGGTTTATTTTCAGTACCTAAAGGTGGATACACAATAAAGGCACCAAGAGAGTTGGTAGATGAAGAGCATCCTCTACTGTATAAGTCCTTTGATGTTCAAGAATTCCTTGCTTTCACCAACACTGAAGAAGGCATGAGATGTGAATCTGCTTTCAAGACTTATTGTGGACTCTAAATATAATCTATTTGATTATGTTTACTACTAGTATTGAGTGACTTTCTAAGTGAACAAACCTGTTGACTGACTTTCTAAGTGAACAAGCCTAAGTTGAGTGATTTTCTAAGTGAAGTATTCAAAGTTGAGTGACCATATGAGATATTACCTTGTTAATATAATGAGTCTTTTCATTGTTACCTAACGATGTATTTAAACTATACGATACAATAAAATTTAAGTGACAATAAAAAAAAATTGTATTTAAATCAATAATACAATACAATACAACATATAACGGCAACCATAATCAAGGTATAGGGATTGCAAACGCAAAGCACGACGAAGCGATTGTAGGACAAAGCCGCATAAACCCGCAAAGATTCTTGACCCATCCCAACAAGGGAAAATTTATGTTTCTAACGTGCCTCGCCCAACCCCGCACAAATCTCCTGTTAAGATGATTATGGAGACAAGCTAACCTTTATCCATGGAAGTAGTGAAGTAAAGCAGAAAGGAGAAATGTATTTTGGGGAAAATCACTTAAAATGATTTTTCATTATGAAGTCACGTGTATTTATACAGAGAAGATACAAAATATCAAATGAGCTAATGAACCTATACAACTAATCAGAATAACAGAGTCTAAGCTAGGCTATTCTAACTAATCAATTCAACTGGCTAAGCTAACTAATTAATGGAAGTGATTAACTAACTAACTAACCCTATAATTAGAATTGATTGATCTCAACACTCCCCCCCCCCCCTCAAGTTGGAGGTGTGGCAAACACGGACAACTTGTTCAATGTTGCAATATGCCTTATGCCAGTCAGTGTCTTGGTCAGTATGTCTGTGAGCTGAGTGTCTGAACTTATATGGTGAAGGGAGATGAGTCCTTCTTGAAGTAAATTTCTCACAAAGTGACAATCAACTTCAATGTGTTTGGTTCGTTCATTAAATACTGGATTCCTACCAATGTGAAGGGTTGATTGACTGTCACAATATACAGCCATGGGAGTTGCTTCTTGGATTTCCAGTTGAGTGGACTATTCCCCAGCAACACAATGTAGCCACTTATTGATTTTTTGGAATCAGGGCATGCAGCCCAATCAGAATCACAATAAGCCTTAACATCATATGATTGTTCTTGTGACATGAAAATCCCTAGAGTAGGATCTGTCTTGAGATACCTTAGTAGATGGAATGCTACTTGTAAGTGTGGTTCTCTAGGATCTTGCATAAATTGGCTAAGATGTTGCACACTATAGGAAATATCCATTTTGGTGTTTGTCAGGAAATTTAGCTTCCCAATAAGCTTCCTGTAAAACAGAGGGTCTGACAAAAGAGTTCCTTCTTTGGCATAAAGCTTTATTCCAGGATCTAGAGGAGATATGCAATTGTTCCTGTTAGCAACATTGTAAGTTCTCAACATATCAAGAACAAACCTCCTTTGTGAAATAATAAGTCCATCCTCTTTATAAAGTACATCCATTTCAAGAAAATAGTGCAATCTTCCTAAGTCTTTTATTTTGAACTTATCATGTAGGAAAGTTTTGAGCTCTTCTATCTCAGTATCACTTGTACCAGTTAGAACAACATCATCCACATATACAGCCACAAAGATGGTGGAACTTGCAGACTTCTTATAGAACAACGAATAATCATTCAATGAGTGAGTATAACCTTTGGAATACAAGGTTTCAGCTAACTTTGCATACCATTGCCTACTAGCCTATTTTAGGCCATATAGTGACTTGTTCAACCTGCATATCATCCCTAATTGGTGTACTGTCAAACCTGGTGGTACCTCCATATATACCTCTTCATGTAACTCACCATGAGGAAATGCATTATTCACATCAAGCTGAAAGATGTTCCAGCCCTTCTTTACTGCTATGACCAACAAAGTCCTTACAATTGTCATTTTAATCACTGGTGAGAAGGTCTTTGTATAGTCAATTTCAGCTTGCTGAGTGTAGCCCTTCACTACAAGCCTTGCCTTGAACCTTTCAATAGTCTCATCAGCCTTATGTTTTACCTTGTACACTCACCTGCATCCTATGGCTTTCTTTACACCAGGTAACTTCACTAAATCCCAAGTATAATTGGCATATAACGCCTCAAACTCCTGTGTCATAGCCTGCTGCCAAGAAGAATTCATAGCAGCTTCCTCATATGAAGATGACTCATCATCACTGCTAATGTTTCTCACAAGTGACTTGACTCTCACATTCCAAGACTTCAGGTGGTATATGGTGATGTTTAGAAAAGACATTATTGAGGGAAATATTTGTATTGGATAGTTGGTTCAGTGTGTGTCAGTCATAGTCTTAGGTAGTATGTAATCATGTAAGTAAGCAGGCAACTTGTGAGATCTAAAGAGTCTACTTGAAACTGTGGGCTCAACTCTATGAGGGGTGATCAGGTGAGTTAACTGAGTGATTAGGTGAAATAATTGGAGTATTACTTGCATTAATTACATTATGTTCAACATCAGGTATAATTTGTGGCACAACTTCAGTATTAACAGTGTCTATAAATGGTACAGACTGAAGGACAGAAGGGAAAGAAGAGACATCAGAAACCACATCAAAAGGAAAAATATTTTCTTTAAAAATTACATCCTAGAGACATGTGCTTTCTTTGTAGCCAGACTAAGGACCTTGTAACCCTTTGATCCGAATGGATATCCTACGAAGATATGGGGTGTGTTTCTGGCTTGAAACTTATCTCTTTGTGATTTTGGAAAAGTAGAATATCAAAGGCAACCAAAGGTTTTCATATGAGAGTAGAAAGGCTTGGATTGGTACAACAACTCATAAGGACATTTGCCCTTGATGTATGTGGTCGGCAACTTATTGATGATGTATGTGGCACACAATATGAATTCCCCCTAATATTAAGAAATGATGATATTTCTTTATTAACAAACTCAAATCCATTATCAGTTCTGAGAGTCTGTACATTGGTCTGAAATTGGTTTTCAATCATGGATATAAATGTTTTGATGACTGACAAAATATTTCTTTTACAAGTCAATAATTGGGTCCATGTACATCTACTATAGTCATCAACAATGGTGATGAAATATCTATAGTTGTCATGTGTTATCATAAGGTAAGGACCCTAAAGATCCAAATGCAACAATTGAAATATTCTGGTAGAGGTGTGAGTATTGGTCCTATGGGGAAAATGTAATCTTTCTTGTCTTGCCATTGGGCCGATGCTGCAGATAAAAGGTTGTTTGGTGGAAAAATTCTCAGGTATGGATCTCATTTATTTCATCTTCACAAAGGGTACATGCCTTAATTTATTGTGCCACAACACATTCACATTATCACATGCATGAGTCATAAAGGAAACATAAGCAATATGTCTATTGTGATGTGAAAAGGAGTTTTGTGCAATAGAAGGCACACATTTATTGAAAATAGAAATGTTATTCATACATTTATTGAAAGTAGAAGTGTTATCTATAATGGAGACTCTATGAGATTGTGGATTGGGATTACATGAGGAATCAGAAAAGGAAGCAGAGTGACTGGTATTCTTCAAACACTTGAAACATAGAAAGTAGAGTCCATCCTTTGCTTCACCAATCACCAGAGGCCTCTTCATTGAAGGGGCCTGCAAAATACATGAAGATTCAGTAAAGGAAAGAATGCTTCCAGGTATAGATTTGGAAAGACAATGAATAGAGACAAAGTTATACTTAAAGGAGGGCACATCTAATACCTTGTGCAAAACAATGTTTGATGCAAGTACTACACTACCAAGCTGAGTAATTTTTACTTTATAACCATTTGGCAAAGTTATTAATAAAGGTTAAGAAAGATAGGTAATATTGGTTAAGGATTGTATGTCAAAGGTCATGTGATTAGAGGCTCCTGCATCTAGGATCCAAGAGTCAGCTTTGCTGTTGAAACACCTGCAGGATGATTTACCAAAATCAACAGAAGAAATACAAGCTATCATACCTGCAAAGTTCACACTGCCATTCACATTGTCCCAGTGTTTTTCAGCTTGGAACTGTTGCAGTAACTCCACAAATTGATTATATTGTTCTCTTGTCAATTGAGGATCTTGTTCAACATGTTCTCCCCTGTGATCTTCACCTTCTGTAGACCGTACATTGGAAGAAAAACCTTGCACATCAGCCATAGGGCCTTTCCCTTTATTAGGGTTGAAGTTCTGATTATTATTCCTGTATCCGTTTTGATTGGAATTCTGGTAGTTGGAGGTTTGAGGATAGCCATAGATTTTGTAGCACTTCTCTCTGGTATGCCCAGGTCTTTTACAGTAATCACACATCATACGACCCCTATTCCCATTGTAGGTATTGATCTAAGAATAATTGGTTCGAAAGTTGGCATTACCTGTTAATGAGTACATCTGATATGGAAATCGAATTAACCAGAGAAAACAGCACTTTGAAACCGAAATCAAATTCTCGAAGCTTATGAGAAGAATCAACAAAGATCAAAGAATAAAATGCAGAAGAATACTAGACGAAAAAAACAATATCTATATAGTTACTTTTCATAAACTATTTATTTTCTAGAATGTGAGATTCGTGGCGAAGTCGAAAAAAATAAAATATAGACGATATTACAACAAGGAGAAAAATAATTTTTGAAATGAAATGTTAAAATCTGAATTTTTTGAACTAGCAAACATATAGGGTATTTATACTTTATTATCGTGATGAGTATCTTTACCACATGCCCTAAATAACTGTGATTAGCAATTATACTTTGCTCTAGTAATATTATATGTCAGTTACTAACTTTGCAATTCACAATATTTTGCGATTTCATAACTCTCAAACAACATATGCTCACATTATAGGACAAAGATATTTTTCGAATTTTTTTCTTTCTTTCTTTCTCAAATTTTATATGTATTCAAACAACATATGCTCACATTTAGTAGAAACATGAAAGTTTTTAAAAAAATTAAGCTTTTGAAAGTTGTTACACATTAGACGTGATATATTCTGTGACTTTGCTGAAGTATTTATTAATAAGGATTTAGGGATATTAAAGCTTTAAATTTTATGGTATTGTCGTCTATTAAATTAAATTTTAAAAGACTTGTTTTTTTCCTCTGTTGCTATTAGGATTTTATTTGTTTCTCTTATCGTGTGTCAAAAGCGAGCACGTTTAGTTTCTATTAAATATTTACCAAATTATAATTGTTAAATTTAATTGAAATTGTAAAAAAATTAATAACAAACACCAGAAATTTTCTGCAACATAAAAAACTACTAGACATTAAAAAAAAAAATAGACCAAAAATAAATAAAAAATAGGGAAAATTGTATAAAATAGCAAACTATTAATTCAAATTAAATGTTATAACCACAGTTTGATTTAATTGTAACCCGTAGCAAACAATTGTCATTCGCCTCTCTTCCCATATTTCTCGCTCTCAACACTGTCTCCCTCGCCTCTCACTTTATACAAACACAAATGTATAAAATGTGTTTGTGTTTGTATAAAGGGAGAGAAAATTGTATATACAAATACATATTTTTTCGTTCTATACACTTATAATTATTCAAATACAGATCTTCCTCTGCCCATCTCTTTTTTGCCTTTCTCTCTTTCTCGCTTTATACAAACACAAATTATACAAATTACAATGTATAATTTGTGTTGTATAAAGCGAGAGAGAGAGAGTTTTGATATACAAATGTTTTATTTTGATTCAATTGTATACAAATTCAAATTTTATGCAGATATACAAACACATAAAATTGAATTGAGAGGCTGCCAGTATTTATACAAACGAGAGGCTGCCAACGATTTATACAAATGAGAAGCTGCCAGCAATTTATACAAATGAGAGTTTGCCATCGATTTTACACAAATCTGATGCTCCATAGCAAATATAAAGTTTGCTATGGAGCGCAATTATACAAACTATAGCTATAACATACAAATATGATTTTTATGTTTGCTAAACCTAAAATTTACTCTAAAAAATACACCTAAAGATGCACCATACTCTTGAAGACAATTCGCTCTTTATTAGTAATAATACAACATTTTTATAAAAATAAAATATCACGTCTAGGATGTTATATATCGAAAGATGCATATTGGAGAGGGAGGCTTGGCCTTACCTTCGAATATAACATAAGGATAAAAAAATTAACCTTCAACGAAATAGTGCAGGAAAGCTAACTTAGACATTCCAACCCTCGCCAAAAAGGACAACCTTTCTAGCTAACTAATACAACAACCACTCTGATTTAGCAATTTGCTCTGTATTTATTATTGTAATATTGATAATTTGATATAAAGTGATGTCTCACTAACACAGAGCAAATTTCAGAAACTAGTGCATCACTAATACAAATCAAAGTTCAAAACTTTTCGCCATGTTTGATAATATAATTATTCAAACTATATTAATACTCAAACTTGGACCCAAATAATTTCATGATCCAACCCAACTACTCAAGCCCATACCCAATTTGTTTGTTATTTTCATTTGTCATCTAAACTCCAAAGGACCTAATTTTTTTATGTTGTTGTGAGGTGTGATCAGTTGCCAATAACAATTTACTCTTTTTGGCTTTGATTTTGTGATGAATATCACTTTAATATCTATCAAAATTTCTTCTAGAAAAATCGAAAGAATCACTTTACAAAAACCAAACCAAATAGAGTTATACTTACAAAAGATAAATAAATAAAAAAACAAAAACAAATTTGATACGACATTCAATGCACACTTTTTTATAATAAGAAAAAAATCAAATAGTCGTAATAAAGTTTGAAAATAATAATTGAACGCTCATCCCTAATTTGACGGAGAAGAAATAAAAAAGAATAATAAAATAAAGGAAAGCTTTATCAAACGCTTTGGAATGCGTAGAAAGATAAAATATAAATAAGTCATTTTTATTTTTCACAAATCAATTATACTCGATCAAATGTTTAATAACAGAAATTATCCAAAAGTATCAAATTGTTACTTATCGTTTCATAAAATAAGAAGTCGTTGTAGTATAGTGGTAAGCATTCCCGCCTGTCACGCGGGTGACCTGGGTTTGATCCCTGGCAACATTGTAACTTTTTCTTTTTCCAGCAGGTTATAAAGGCGTAGGGGTGGGCTTTTGGTCTTCGGTTCGGGATTCTCAAATTTCAGTAATTGGTAGTTAAAAGTTGATACCAAATTTTTAAGTTTTGATTTGGTAATTCGGTAGGTATATTAAACTTTGATTTGGTTCGGTATTCGGTAATACCGTATTGAACTCAAGGGCGAAGACAGCATATACTTAGGAGCTTCATCCGAACCCCCTTCGACGGTGAATATTACTACAAGTAGAACAGATAACTTGTAGAATGCAAAGCTTGAATGATTCTATTTCATCAGTGAAGTATATATACACATCAGCTGGAAGCTTCTAGACTATTACACTTTGAGCTAACTAACTATACACATTGAATACATGAGTTAACTAACTCTCTAACCAATTTTATAACTAACTATGTTATGTGAGCTGTACAATGCAATACGTGAGCTGTGCAATATAATACTTAATAGTTTTCACACGAATAATCTATTTAATTCTTAGTTTATAATTGAATTGCAACGTTAGCTTGACATTTGTATGAGTCTAATCTTTTGATTAAATTTCGATTGTAAAAGATTGTTTTCTTGGCTCATCTATGTGTGTTAAAGAGTGTCAAATTTCTTGATCGTTGAGACAAACTGATTTGTAATTGAAATTTACAATAATATCTGAGCAAGAATTTGTAATATATTGTTCTTTATAATTACTGAAATAAAATTATTAGTTATCAAAATAATATATTTTATCTTAAAAATTGAGGAAGTAAAGTATCATAATATTTCATGTTGTGGTGATTATTGTTTGATTTTTTTCCCTTATCCATTTTTGCGTAAAGATCTTCTCTAACCCATTCAAAAAGCACATGTTTATTTGAATATGATCATTAGTGTTTTCTCTGTCATTTATATGATATTGAAGATTTACATCTACATAAATAACTAAAATTATCAATCAAACTACATCATTTTACCTTTCCTTCCGAGCTTTAATTATAAGTGCTAAATGCATCTAGATACAATAATCTGTTTTATTTATTAAATTTTTAATAGATAATTAGTACATATTGAATAAACTTTTAACATAAATACAGAGTTTGAATAAAAATTATTAGATTTTTGTCAAAATTGTAGCTTCGCTCGTAATTTCATATCAAATATTGTGTAAAATATATTTAATTGATTTTTAATAATGAAATATGTATAATATTCATATGTTCTTTGTAGAATAATATTGGATTCTTTTAATATATTTGTAGGCAATTATAGTAATATTAATTTTATAAAATGAATGATTAACCGAAACTTTTTTTAAAATTCTAGCCATTATTGTCGAGAAAATAAGTATTAATGACGACATCTTGTGTCACAAAAGAATTAGTATTTGTGGCGTTAACAGCTGCCACCAAAGCAAAGGTTACAGTGGCGACAAGAGTTGCAGCTGAAGGGATAAAGCTTTTGTAGCGACTAAAATCGCCACTAAATGTCGCCACAATAGCTGTATTTAGTGGTGACTTCCTAAAATCGTTACAAATAACTTTTAGTTATGAAAATACTTGCCACAGCCCTTATATCGCCACTAACTATAATTAGTGTCGACTTTCCAGCCTTTTGTAGCGACATCTGTTGCCACTATAACTGTAATTTCTTGTAGTAGCGCAAACACTTTAGACTTTAATGAAAGATATTTGTGATCAAGCGATAAAATTATTTTACTTTTTTAAAAAAAAAATAGATGGTTCATATACGTCTGTGTACCTCTATTCCACTTTGATCAGCATATTATATTTTAGATAGCCGATGAGTTACACATTTCATCATTCATTTCGACATTTTAATCAATTGAAATTGACAATATTTTTGGATAATATTAAAAAAACTTTTTTTGTACATTTAAAAAAACTAATATAGAGATAGAGAGCAGAAAAAAGATAAGATAATCACGTTTATTCACTTACTTTCACAAAAAAATTCTATCTTTTTAATTTAATAATTCTTTAAAACAGCAGTAGAGTTTTTCAACAATTGAATAATGTGCTGCCAGTATAAATATATTACTTCTCCGTCCAATAATAATTATCAAATATTGATTGACACGCATATTAAGAAATAATAAATAATGAGAATAACTCAATAAGTATTACAACTACATTACTCTTTGAATATATTAAATTAATGTTTTGAGAAATGCATTAGATGTTGAATAATACTCCCTCTGTAGCTCTGTCCCTATTTACTTGTCCATTTTTTACTTGACAGACATATTAAGAAAATAATAATTGATATAATGAATTTACCATTTTGTCCTTATTAATTGACACTCCCCCTGTCCCTATTTACTTGTTCACTTTTAACTTGACACATTTATTAAAAAAAATAAATTGACATAGTGAGTTTATAATTTTACTCCTATTAATTGATAAAATTCTAAAATCAATTTACTCATTAAAGAGGTTTTACCTTTTTCAAAATTAATTAATTAAGGGTATAATAAGTTAAAAAAGATTGTTCTTTCTTGATTTGTCAAAATTGACAAGTAAAAAGGAAAAATAGGCAAGTAAAAAGGGAAGGGGAGTAGAATTCCAAAATCAAGTACTCATTAAAGAGGTTTTACCTTTTTTCAAAAACTTTAACTCTCCAAATAAATTGAGGGTATAATAGGTAAGAAATATTGTCTTTTCTTGATTTGTCAAAAGTGACAAGTAAAAAGGGATAAGTAAAAAATTAAAATTGGACAAGTAAACATGATGCCTACCTTGGCTAAAGTCACATTAGCAAAACAATTCTTGTGGTTGTTTACATCAATCATTCTTGTAGTGGCAATTCTAATTGAATGAAATAGAGAATTACGTAGAAAGAAGTCTAAGAGATATACAATTGAGTTGCCTATTATAGCATATCTTATCCATAGTTCGGAAAGTTCAAGTTTGCAATATTTATACCATCCATAAGTCACCCTAGCTCTTCATATGATTATATGTCATGAGCACAATCCAACTCATTCTTATGAGAAGACTGATTCAAGTAAAATCTGCAAAAAGAGAAGATCAAGTCAATTACGAATGTCAGAAAAATGCACAAATGAAAAACCCAGTGAATTATCAAATATAAGCACGCACCGTCACATGTATGTCATTTAAAATAAAAAACTCTAGTTAAGTTATTACAATGTAATAAGATTGAAGTTGTTGATCCACATAATAAAGAAAAAATAAGTAACATTACCTAACAATCATTGATTTCAGATTTGGTCCCAAAAACTGAAAATTATTTTAGCAGACTTATAGCAACGTGGTAGTACTTCATATATCTTGAGATAGAAAATCTCCAACACTTCCGATTCAATATTCCACGTATGACAACACAACATGTTCATACATGAAGCAGAAATAAATATATGCTTTCCACCGAGTTTTTAATTTATCTACAATTGCTTTGTCGACTCTGTAAACTTTTCCCCATTGTTCCTTTCATTGGGTCAGTGATTTTTTATATTTATCATCAACATTTGATCAAGGTCAGTGATTTTTATATTTCAATTTGTTATGTTGCACTTAAATTATAGCTCCTTCCAACTTTTTCTTTATGCAAGCACAATAGTCCTGTAAAGTGTAAAGCATTGTATTACTAACCATCATGGTCAAAGAACTATTATTTGTGATCAAGCTGATTTTGCGCGCACACAACTATGTAAGGATCTATGAAAGGCGTGAAAACTCTGTTAAAAGCAAATGTGCTATAAATTATTAAAACCAAATGCATGATACAATAACATTTACATTCAATATATATTCAAAGCAGCGCAAAAGATAATCACATTGAGAGCAACTTACTTGAAATGCTTTCCGAACCATTCCAACATTTCTTAATTAGCATCGCCAGCTATATTCACACCCATTACCATGTATCTCTCTCTTTACCAATTTTGAAAAGTAAAATTTGATGAGTATTGTAATGTCACAAGGTGGACACCATGTAAATTGGTTCAAGTTGCACTTGTTTTCAGTACGAAAAAGAATTAGAAAGAAGAAAAGATTTCAAGGACATAAGCAGATAACCCATTGAGAATTACATATTCTTCAGCAAAGTGTTGCCTATCTCCATAGTACCTGAAAGCAAAAAAATGATAATCATGTTATAGATTGGCAGGAGTGCTGAAGCAGAATGCATTTTAAAATAGAAATTGTTTATCTACTCTATCCGAGGAAAGCTCACATCTTCTAATGCTTTTGCAATTAAGCTTGCCGTCTTTAATTCGTTTTTTGCGAAGTAATCATTAACTGAGTTTCTCTCAGTGTCAATGCACTAAACGAAACAACTACTACATATATTGCAAAGAGAGAACTGTTGTCCACTCTAGAGCTTTAAAAGACACAAACCGAGCACGTTTCCGCACTATCTAATCTAAGCAAAAATAAGGCAGATATAAAACTATATAGAAATCACTCTTATCAGCTAAATATTATGACGACAAAGCAGAACATTGAATGATCCATTTTTTCGAATTAAGAACATCGAATCAGGTGCTTTCAAATGGACATCAAAACATGCAAATATTGCTTGATATATGAACTGTGTGATATGATATAACTGCTCTAAATTACTCATATTTCGAAGTCATAGAGTCTCCAAAAAAAGAAGTATTTTGCAGCTGAATTTGGAATCTTTTTGCATAGATTTCTCCTCTCATGTCATATAATCACATAGTATATCTAGGACAAAGATTACTCATTTTTCTTGTGTACCTTTAGTTTCTTGAGAAATTCACTTAGGCTTATTAGCTGTTAAAAAGAGTCTCATCAGTTGTTTCTTCTTTACCAGCATATACTGTTATAGAATAGTGCCAATTTCAGTTGTATATGATGGGTCAGACAGCACAATAATAAATATAAAGTTTTGTTCTTGAAAATCTTCTTGTTGTGTTAAGCAAACATGAGTGTTCTGTGGGATTGATTTTCTTGAAAGTTTAAAGAAAGGTGTGAAAATTATTCTGGTGTAATTAGTAAGGAGGTCAAGAAAGGGGAGCAAGAGGGTAAAAGTAGTTGTGATGTTGCTGAGAAAGTTATGGTGGCTGTGAAGGCATCAAAAGCGGTATCTAAGAATGTTGTTGTGTGGGCTCTGACTCATGTTGTTCAACCTGGAGATTACATTACACTTCTTATGGTTGTTCCTTCACAAAATTATGGTATAACATTCATCTAACTTGTTTCCATTTCTTTCGGCATCTCATTGTGGTAGCACTAAAATGTTGTATTATATTCAAGTATATGTCAACTACATTTATAGAAAGAAAAAAGCCTACGAAAAGAGAACTTTTGATTGGTATCATGGATTTTATATAGAAATGGCAATTTGGTATTCTTACTTGCTTTGAGATTAGGTACTTATTAGAGTGCAAGCTAGGGTGGACACCCATTATGAAAAAATAAAAGAAGGTACTTAAGAGTGTTGCCTGATTGAAACAAAATTTCTCTGAATTGAACAGAAATCTTGGTTTATTGATTATTCTGCTCCTCTTTGCTGATTGACACCCTCATGTCATCTTATGGATGCTGGATATATTCCTCGTGGATTTTTCTGACAGTCTGTTACTTGTAGCTATTTTCAAGCTAAGTTGATCTTGGCTCTTGTAAGAATGGGAAAGATAGTCAGTCCTTCAAGGAGGATTTACTTCTCAAGCCACTGACTTCTAATTAGTCTATTGAAGCTATAGATAATATATATGTTCAGAGTACATACCAAGAAGAAATAAACCACAAACCTTTTTGAGAAAATGACTAAGTATATATTTTATATATATTTTTTTTTATTAATTGGAAAAGTTTTGACTAACATTTTTAATGTTTATTTAAGAAAAAAATATATTTTAACTAAAAATAATAATTTTTAAATGGGTACAATATGAATAAGTGAAGAGGCGTTAAAACATATATCTTAAGAATAAAATGTTTAACTTAATTAGAAAGTATAATTTGATCAACATATTTGATTAATAAAATAAAATATTAAAAGTTAACCAACACAAAGAACATAACTTATCTTTTGGGGAATGTAATTAAGTTAATTAAAAATTATAAAGTTAGAGTTAAACAACAAACAATAAATAATAACAATTAAATAATTAAAGAGTAAGGAGGAAATGAATTTGGGCCTCCTTTTGGGCCAACTTCGCTGGAATTTTGGCCTTTAAACCAATCCCGTTTTTGTATATACTGGTTGTATATCAGTGTATATGAGCGTATATATCAGCTATTTTCATGTATCTCTTGCTTCCGAACACCTGTATTTCGTCTCAGCCCTCTGTTTTTGCGTTTTGGGCCTGCATATCAGTGTATACCGCTGTATACAACATGTAAACAGCCCCCTTTTTACTTTCCGGGACCTGTAATTTGACTTTCCAGCAACTCGACAAGATGTGGCCGACTCAATAAAAGAATCTTGGGCCTTTATGGCCCTCTCGAAGTACGAAGGGAAGAAAGATGAAGCCCAAGAGGGCTCGGATGGTATTACATGCAACAAAATAATAATAATAATAATAATGATTAGCGTTCGAAAAGAATAAGAGAAAGAGCGTACCTAAGACAAATTATCATGACAACTCCCAAACTAATACACAGTAACTAAAACCTAAGTCATGCAAATGAATGCAACCAATTTAACAAATAACAAATAAATACATGCTAACAAATGAATGCATGCCTAACAAGTGATGTCAACTGTAGCCATATTCAACAATGCCAAGCTAAATTTAATAATCTTAAAACAACAATAAGTGATATTGGAGAGACACACCATAGAGTATTAAACAAACTCCAAACAATTTTAGCAAAGGTTAAGATAACAAGCCAAATGGAGCATATGAAGGTTAAATTATTATTATTATTTTTTTAGATAAAGAAGCTACCGGTTAAAATAAGAACAAATGGAGATTATCATAAGAGCTATTCTTTATGACCAAGGGGAAATAATGATAACAACCATCCCTTTTATAATAGATATGAACTTTTTAGTGTTAAACCGAGGCCATAAGCAGAGAACTGGACAGGTTGGGATTTAAGCAAAATACGGAAGACATGAATTAAATGACTCACTATTCACAATAAAGAAACTTAGCTAGTAATACTAACCCACTAGAATAAAAGGCAAAACATGAGCTTTTGACAAAGAAGAACAAATTTAAACCAAGATGAAAACAATAAGATGAGTTTCAACACAAGACAAGGGCTGAAATGAAACCAAACAGAGGAAAGATTAACTCCACTATATGACACATACCATCTAAATGCACTTTCCACGCAACAACAAGATATGCTAAAGTCTAATTCATGAATTCACTTAAGACTTAAATACCAACGAGATATATATATATATATATATATATATATATATATATATATATATATATATATATATATATATATATATATATATATATATATATAACATACCAAGATAGGAACAGACCACAACCAAGACAAAAGCAAGATTTAGGCTAAAACATATAAACCAAATTTATACACAAAATTTATATAAGCTTATGAATTCGAGATAACTACAATCTGGTTATTTGAACAAAAGGAGCTACGAACAACGGCTATTCGAAATCGAAAGAAATGAAGAAAAAGAAATTATTCACTTTTCCAACTAATATCCATTTCAAAACTGAACAAGTCAAAAGAAAAGATCAACATTTATGTCTATAGATGTGCAGATTAGGCAAACATTGAGAGTCTCTAGTCATGAGTCACAATTTTTATTTTTATTTAAAAAAAAAATCAAATCAGTCGATAGACAATAAAGAAAATAAAACTCTGCGATTAACGCAATCAATATTACGACCAAAACGATCATGAGATCCTTAGCTCAAACAGAAATTTAAGCAAAGCAAAGTTACAAGGATTTTACCTCTTCTTGGGCAGCGAACTTGACAATGAACTGAGAGCAGGGATTCTTCTACCACTAAATCTTAATACGAACAACAAACAAGAATTCTGGGCAGAATTAGAGCAGCTACCTTTTTGGAATTTAGAATCAAAAGACTAAAATGTGAAATTGTAAAGTGTAAAACCTATTTGCCGAAAACTCCACTCAAAAACTTCTCCTCCCAACAATGATTAAAATAGATGAATATATAGATGGAAATTAGGGGGAAATCGTGTGAAATTTTGAATTTTCAAATTCGAATTCATTCTGCCCCTTTTCAGACAATCGTAGAAAGCTTTGAAAAAATCCCCTAAAATGGGGGAAAGGGGACGTGAGGGTGATGGGTTTGCAGGGTATGGGTTCTTGCAAGGTAGGAGACGCAATTTCCGGGTTGATTTAGCGTGAAGAAGACGAAGGCAAGTATGGGGGTGGGGTCGTTGTGTTTCTTCACGCCAAGAAGAAGAGTAGGGTTATTTTGGCTTGCTGTAGAATTGTATTGGAGGGTTTTTTATTGTTATGAAGTTGGGTTGCTAACATTAATGTGAGAAAGGGAGAAATGGGCTGGGAATTTAAAATGAAGATGGGCCCAAAATTGGCCTATTGAATTGGGTATGGGTGAGGTAAAAAGGGGCTAGTTTTGAATTAAGAATTTGGTCAAATTGATTGAAATTGTAGCCAATTAAAATTAAGGACTTAGTCAAATTGAATTTAATTAGCAAATTCGACTTATAATTAAAGATGACAAATTAATACAATTAATTAACGAGCTTCTTAATCTTAACAAAATAAAATAATCAACTTAATTAAAAGAACTAATTATTTCACACACACACACACACACACACACACACACACACACACACACACACACACACACATATATATATATATAAACAATATATATGAACTATTATATAACTAAATAATTAACCAAATATTTAAAATATAAAATCTTTTTGAGACTATTTTCGAATATTCATAAAATATACTAATTATATACATAATTATGTGAAAGATATATATTAT